GTTGTGTCAATGGAATGATAAATGGGAAGACAAATTGCATATTTTGGAGGGGATAGTTTTGTCTTTCAGGTCCCAAAAACAGCTCCAGGTCTGTGTGAGCTTTTTGCAGACATCATTATCAAAGGTCACAGATGCTGCCATGAAATCTTGGGCTGTGATCCTGTAACAATTGTCATACCAGTACAACAGTGGTAATTTGAGTGCTTTTTTCAAAACAATCATGAGCTGCAATCGGCTTTATCTTCCTTTACAGGTCAAATAACATACCATTTACCTTCTCATCCTATTTTGAATTTCACTAAGAGGATTCCCTTTCAGGGGAAGCAGCTTTGCTCTTCTGTGCCAGTGGAAGGTGCAACAGTTTTTACAGATGGATCAGGAAGAACTGGAAAAGCTGCTGTAGCCTGGAAGAAGGACAACTGCTGGGAATATGAAGTAATGGTTCAATAAAGGTCTCCTTATTTAATTCAACTTTGTGCGACACTTTTGGCCTTTATCTAATTTCCTAGTTCTGTAAATATAGTTACTGATTCTGTTTATGTTGCTAATTTAGTGAAAAAATTGGATTAAACTGTGTCGTATAATGTAAAGGAGAAACCATGATTTGTTATGTTGTTGAAATTGTGGACTGTTATTTGTAATCGAAAGCATTCTGATTTTATTATGCATATTCGTAGCCATATATCTCTACCTGAATTCTTTGTTGAAGGTAACACGTATGTGGATTCCCTTGTGGTTGCCTCAGCAGTAAAAATGGTGCCTAATGTGTTACAGCAAGCTGTTCTGTCTCACCAATTTTTTCACCAGAGTGCTCAGGCACTATGGCAGCAATTTAAATTATCACTTAATGAAGCAATGTCAATTATTTCTTCTTGCCATGACTGTCCTATGTCTCATGTTTCACAGTATTACGATACTAATCCTAGAGGTTTACGCCGTTTCCAAGAATGGCAAACAAATGTTACAAAAATGCCTGAATTTGGGCATCTAAAGTATGTTCATATTACAATTGACATCTTTTCTCATGCCATGGTTGCCTCAGCATTGGCAGGTGAATGAAACAGCTTGGGATGTTATTCATCATTTTTGCCATGCCTTTTCCATCTTAGGTGTTGTATCACATGTAAAGATGGATAACAGCCCGGCGTATGTTTCAAAGAAATTGCAGGTGTTTTTTCATGCCTGGGGTGATGGTCATTCTATGGTATCCCTCATGTTTCAACAGGCCAAGCAATTATTGAACGTGCTCATGGTGTGTTGAAGCGCCAGGTGCAAAAACAAAAAGGAGGAATGCAGAGGGAATCGCCTCAAATGAGATTAGACAAAACCATTTATGTCTTAAACTTTTTGCGTCCTTTATCTGACTTACAAGTCTCTCCTATATTCTACCAGTTTTCATCTTTGAATTCAAAACAACCAAACTTTAAGAAAGGTATTAAGGTTTGGGTAAAACATTTAATTACACGAAAATGGATGGGCCCGATAGAATGGGGAAGAGGATACACATGTGTTTTAACTGAAAATGGCCCTCGATGGGTCTCTGCCCGTTGTGTCAAACCTTATTTGGAGAACACAGAAAAGGACAGGATGAGTGGTTCTGCAGTGGGAACAAAATGAGTAGGTAATTGCATTGGTTATTAGGTAGATGGAAGCATGGATCCTCAAGGAATGTGTGGTAAAGATGGTAATTCAAGACAGAGTAAAGGTAGTTATAGGCTTACACTGAAATTTCAAAAGTTAAGTTAGTGGATGTTACTTTTGCTTCATTTTCTTGAATTCTCTTATAGAGGGGTTGGTAGT